CAGTATCTCTCCTACGAGAGCCCACGGCATTTTCAGATTCACTGCAATCACTTCCTACTTGTCTGCATCTGCTCTGGACAAACTCTGAAGGCAGAGATCATGTCACATTCACCATTTCATACAGAACTCCTCGTATAATGCAGTGCCTGGTACACAGGAGCTCTGCAAACACTGCTGTGGGAAGGAATGTATGTTGTGTCCCTACCACGTGCTGGACAGAGACTGGACTCAGCTCTTAGAGATGAAGAAAGTAAGACACAGAAAGACAAAGGATCATGACTGAAGTTAACACAGCAGGGAAGTGGTCAAGCAGGGGTTTCAAAGTACATTTATCAAATTCTACAAAAGTGTCATCCCCAACCCTGGTGCAGTACCTCTGTCTAGCAACCCAGGAGAAAATAAGGCGGGTATAAACCAGTTTTGTTGAAACTCTCTCTTAGGGAAAGAGAATGATGACCCTGGGAACCTAAGAGTTCCTAAAACACAATTTCAAAGCCATCAGCTTAAAATGTAAATGCCTTTAAGGCCAGTGAGGAAATAAAAACAGCAATGATAGTTGACCTCTGTTGAGCCCTTTATGTGCCAGGTACTGTGCTAGGAATCTGATATGCATTATCTCACTGGATTCTCCCAATGAGCCTATAAGGGAGGCACGGCCATTACCCTCAGTTTACAGGTGAGAAAACAAAGGCAGAGGTCAATTACCTTGCCCAAAAATCACACAAGCAGGAAGTAGAGGTACCAGAATCCAGAGCCCACATTCTAACTGCTACACATGACTGCCTCTGTGTATCAGTGGAGCTTCACTCACAAGCCAACCGGAGCCTCTCTCTGGAACTATATCATTGCTGTTGCCTTTCCTTCTTCCTTGCTGACCACCCTGCCACCAAGAATGATATAAAATATCTTCTGGATAAATCCCTCATGTCACTCTGAGATCTTTACACAAAGCATTGTTTGTGAGGCTTGGGGAAGAAAGTCTTCATTTATCAAATAGGAGAAGCACCAATCTACCAGACATGACCTGCAACTGCCACCAGAGATGACACAGAAGAAGGGCTGCATAAATGTTTCTTGAAATAAACTGAGATCACTTGAATGAAAGGACACAGTCACTGTGTAATCTGGCCGTGTTTTGGGATTTCCTAGCTGCCAGCTAACATGATCATTCTCTCCAAGAAGAAACTAGGTCTATGCCAATACCCTTCTTGGCTATTCTGCTAACTTGCCACTAGCCTCAAACTGCTTAAATGGGAGAAAGACTATAAAAAGGCAGGAGGAGAGAGAAGGATGATGATCAGGTCATTCGCTTTAGATGGAAAGTGGACTCTTTAAGGTGATAGGTTACCATTTAACAAATAGCAATGGCATCCTGTAAGAGCATGGATGCTAGAATTAGGTCCTTCCCTAAAAGAACCCTTTTTCAAATGAGAACACTAGGTTATAATTTATATTTCTTTTTGTGTAACAAATTTGAGTGTCATAAAAATGGTTAAAAAGTCTTCCTATGGTAGCTTTTTCTAAACTTTTATGAACATCTGCCACATTCATTTGAAGTTTAAAAAATTCTGGCACATATGCAAAGGCATAATAAGGTGCCTATAGCTTTCAAGAAAAAATAACAAGACAGTCAAAAATAAGCCTTTTGCTGAATTGCCAGTAAGAAAACTAGTGTAGCAAGAGGAGATGGGCCTTCCCTTAAAGAGCTTTCCTTTGGCCCCAGGTCTGAGCTCCTCCCCAAGCATTATAGCCCAAGGTTCTTGGAGGAAATCTCAGGGGAAGCAACTCTCACCTGAAGGGTACAATAGAACCAGATTCACCCAACCAGAAAGCAAAAGGAGGGCACTCTGACTCTGAGCTGAAATTCAAGGTCAGTAGATCAGGGGACCGAATATCACGGTTTGGCAGTTTACGGCTGCCCAACACACCCGGGAAACACTTCTTTGTTCAGAAAGTGTCTTCTGGCTTCAAGAGAGGGGTGACTCCCATTTTTGTTTTTATTGTCCTATTGACCACACAGGAGTTCAGCACAGCAAACTCCTCTCCAACCTCAATCAATAGGCCTAGGATCTGTCCTGGCCAGTGCTTCCTGAACCTTCTCACACAAAGTCCTTCGCAGGCTGTGCAGAGTAGACCTGTGCCCATTCATGTAAGTGCAAAACTGTCTCAAGTTTCAGCTTCAAAATCTATGCGTATTTTGCACTGCAGGTTTTACTACAAAAGGCCTTAATTTAAATTACTTACAATTATATAAAAAGTAAAAAATTTACTCCCCCCACCTTGAAGTAAAATTATGGCACTGCATTGCCTGAAAACAGTGATGCCTACGAGAGGGCTTGTAAATGTGTTCCAAATGACAGCTCTCCAAGCACTCACTCAACCTTTCTTGTCAGAGAGCATTTTCTCAGACAGTGCCACCTGCTTAGCATCCTGCTACATGTTGAGGACAGTGAATAATGCACAGTCCTTGTTCCCAAAGAACTCTCGCTCCAGGGGATGATGGAGAGGGACATGAAGCAAACAGCTATTATTCAGAACAAGAGGTACCACAGGGGAAAGAAGACAACAAAACAGGAGGACTTCCTGGAAGAGGTGGATACAGGCAGGGCTTATCCATGCAGTTGTGCGGGAATGTGGATATGTTTAGGCTGAAGGCTTGACAGCAGTGGGGAGACTGGGCAGAACTCAGGGGCTGCACAGAGGGAGATCGGGAGGCTCCTCCCCAAGCGTTGTAGCCCATGGTTATGGAGTGACCACGTGGAGGGCAACCCATTCAATGTCAGGAGAATGAATTGAATTTCATATTCATCTTCATACCTCCAGGACCTAGCAAAATGCTTGGAACATAAGAGGCCCTCATTTTGCTTGTCAAATGAATGAATGAGGCTTTGCAAGAATCCAGGAAGGAAAGAAAAGTGTCAATGAAGGCAGTGAGGATGGAACAGGGTGAGAGACATTTCAGAGACTTTGTGAGTATTTAGGGAGAAAGATGAGGAAGAGGAGCAATCGGCCATACTCAGCATATCCCACCTTGGCTGCCGTAGGCAGTGGCACCATTCACAGGGACAGGGAATGTGGAGGGAAGGGGAGTGGCCTGGAGTGTGACTGTGTGTGTGTGTGTGTGTGTGTGTGTGTGTGTAATAAATGTTTGGGAGAGACTGAGTGAGACATATATAGTACATCCAGGTGCAATTCAACTGGCATTTGAAACTTTGGACCTGAAGTTCAGAGAGACAGCCCAGGGTTAGAAACACAGCTGAGAGTCACTGACCTAGTAGCTGAAGCAAAAAGCCTTAAACAAGATAACTAGAGGGCACGTAGAGAAGACAAGGTCAGGATTAGAAACTTGGAGAATGCTGAAGGTGCTGGGACATAGCAGGGAGTCTGAAAGAGCCCGTGCCGGAGCAGTCTGGTAGGCAGGAGGAAAGGCAGGCAGGAGGGAACTGTGCACTCTGATAGACCAAATAGTTGTGAGATTAGTGTTTCAAATTCTACAACAACTGGCACTAAGGGTCCATTACAAAGCATTCCCTTTGAATTTCAGTTTTTCACACAGGAGCTTTGAATAGACCCCCCTCCCCCCGAACTTGACAAACAAAGGTAAAACACAGAAGAAATCTCTTCAATCTGATCTAAATACATCTTCCCAGATAGTCCATAAACTGTGTACTGTATGTGCTTAGGGCTGGGTGATGACAAGGAGGAACTGTTAACAGAATGTAGGAGCCACATGGCCGGCCTGTCAAATTAGAAATTTGAGCAGATTTCTGTGGTCTATTTTGATCAAGATTCTCAATGTCAAACAAACAGGTTTTTCGATAACCAACTTCTTTCATTTTCGTAAGCACAATAGCACAGTGTGCAACAGTTAGTGAAGAAGCAGGTGGTCCTCGTCGACGTGAAATGAAGGGAACAGAAGAAGAGAAGTAGCACTTCCTTTAAGACATGCAAAGCACCATCACAGACGGACATGGCTGTAGATTTTCCCTCTGAGAGCTTATCTCCTGTGCAAAACAGGCAAGCCCCTCCCTCCCATGCCTCATTTTGCTCTAGTACAAATTTAAGCTCTCTCCTGAGGAGGAAAAGGCTCAGGGTTCATGTCTACAAAGTAATGGCACGTACAAAGCACAGAAAAGTCCTTTAAAAGAACTGCTATCTAATTGGTACAGCCATACAGAAAGCAATCTGGCATCAGATTCATAGCTTTGACCAAGCATTTCTACTTTAGGGGCTCTATGCTAAGGAAATGAGGCAAAATGCAGATAAAGCCTTATGCATAAAGATGTTCACTGAAATGCTATTTATAATAGTGAAAAATGATAAACAACCTAAGTGTCCAACAGTAGGAAAATGGTTAAGTTGTGGTATATCCAAATAGTGGGAATGATAGGTAGCAAATTAAAAAATGATTACTGCGAGTAGATAAAAACATGCCATAATGTTCAAATAAAGATATAAAATTATATAAAACATATCAATTATGCATTTACATAAAATATATCGTCACGGAATGAAGACTAGGAAGGAGAATAGTAAAATGCTAACAATGGTTCTACCCAGAATAATGGTATGGTGGAGAATTTTAATTTCCTTCTTTATACTTCTATACACCTTTTATATCACATTTCCTACAATGAAAAATGCAATACTGTTATGGTGATTTACTATGAACATCATTTTGAAAGGTGAATCATTTCCCTTCCTTCCTTCAAGGCCCCGAAGAACCCTTTCCTCCTGCCTCCTCTATCTCACTCCCTCGACCCACGAAAACCGACAGTCCCCAAGCAAAGCTGGAAAACCCTGCAAACGAGTGGCCGGTGCCAAAGCATCTGAGTTGAGCGCTCAGCTCTGTGCACCTGGGAAGGGACCGCACACGAGGTGTTGCTTCAACATGCTCCCGTGTGCAGAGCTGTGAATCCCGAGCCCGTTGTCTTTCCACTGCCACACAGCAAAACAAAACCCCGAGCAGAGCGATCTGGGGAGGAAAGAAGCCAACTTACCTCCATTAAACTTAAATGGATTCCTATGAGGTAGGGCATGGGAGCACTGTGAAGAGAAACAGAGACACACAGCTGCTTTAATGTCTGTTGCTTCTGACAGAAAAGTACAGATGGTTCACTATTTGGAGAAAAACTGTTTTAATAAACGTATGCACAGTTACATTTCCTTTCACAACAAAAACCCTAATATGACATTTTGTTCCCAAGCTTAGAAACTTCAGAAGAATTTCAAAATGTGGGCAGCGCTGGAAACAGCATGGGGGGTGGTGGGGAAAGAAAATCAACCTTGATCAAAATCAACCTAGGTGTCAGACCCTAAATAGCAGCGATGCAACTGCACAGCCTCCGCTGCCTTATCTTTAAAATGGGATGCTGGAATCGAACTGGTACGTTGTTCTCAGAATGAGAGAAAATATACGTCAGGCAGTTAGTGTAGTTCCTGATACAAATGGGAACTATTATTGCTGTCATTACAACAGAAAAAGCAGTTAAGGCCAAATGGAGGGCATCATGCGTTTCAAAGAAGGATAATTTTTTTATTTGCTGTTTCCTTCTGCCATCAGAAGATGTGACTTAACCGGCCATTCTGATTGGACAAAGCACTTGGAGAGCTGCCAGCAAGCATCTCCTCCCGTTGCATGCATGCCATGCAATGACACTATAATTCATAAAGCCTCTGCCAACTGCTTTTTGCACAGAGCAATGGGCTCCCTAAGTTAGTGACTGAGCAAGGGGATGAAAACTCAACTCCAGAGGTTTTACAACCTGGGTGTTTTGGACCAACTGGTCCTTCTTTTGGTTTCAAGAGTGTCTCTCTCTCTCTCACCCTCTATGTAAACATTCTCATTTATGCTACCTACCAATGATAAATGTGCTAGCTGTTATACAAGGAACTACACATTCATCTTTTCTAATCCACACAACCTTGCAAGGTAGGTATTACCCCATTTTACAGAGGAGGAAAGAGACCTAGAGAGGTTAAATTACTTATTCAACATCACAAAACAAAGTCAATGCCCATTTCTTCCTTTGTGCCACACCAACTTTGTAATGTGGAACCTAAAATCCCCATGCTCACCTCCCACACAATGTTTTTCTTGGGGTGAGGTGAGGAAGGTCACAGAGAGGAAGGAAGTGATGGGCAACGTTTCCATCTGTCTGCCCAGTACATGATGCATCCTATGAAGCATACACAGGGTATTTTATGAACCTAGAGGAAAGATACCTGGCTCAGACTGGGGTGACCAGGTACTTCTCTTCCGGGGCAGCTGGTGCAGTAGAAGTGTGTGGACAAGGATGGCTCTTTGGGGACAGGGTTGGGGAAATGAGTAGTTAATGAGGCAGTAGAGGATTGCTTCCAACTGAATACTAAGGAGTTTAGGTTTTATCCTGAAAGCAATGGATAGGCAAGAAAGGTTTCTAAACATCAGATGTACATTGTAAAACCACTCCAACATTTTAAAATAAGAAAGGGCACAATTCCCTCATTACTATCCAACAAATAAAATTCTTCAAGCAACAATCCTTCCCCCAGAATATAAAATGTTTTCCTTAATACAGATCTCAGCAGTAATATATCTTGGGAACCTGTAAAACAGACTTGAATATTAGCAGCACAGTTTGGGAACTATTCTTCTAGAAGACTTTTGTATGTGATAATAGCTAAAGAACGAACTACATACACAACCGCAGTGAAAGTGGAGTTGCCCTTTCTTTTCTTTCTCCTTCTTCTTCTTCTTCTTCTTCTTTTTTTAATAAAGGTATCTGCTGTGCACATTCAGCTTTTCTTCGCTTCTAGGGGCAAGGAAATGCCCTGTGATATTTTTTTTCCTTAAACTGTAAACCATTAGTTTAGCTGCCAGCTACACAAATGCTCAAACTTCCCAGTGTGCCTGGCTCTGCTGTCCAAGTTTTTTCCAGTGTACACTGAAATGAATGTGTTTCTAATTAAGTAGCTTCAGGAACACGACAGCTTCAATGTCAAAAATACAAAGTCTGAACCCCGGCAGGAAGTCTTAAGACTGCAAATGTCTCATCTAGTGGAACCTTGCCTAATGTAATGAAAGGAAGCAGGAAGAGTGCAGAATTCCAGGAAAATGGCCACTTATTAATGTGTCCAGAAGTACAGCTTAACACATAGTGGAGGAAAAAAACTCAACTCCATAATATTTAACTAAATCTTATGAACTTTTCCAGCTCCTACATTTAATCATGCAATTGCCAGTATCATGAGTTTTCATTAGAATTTCAGAACTGAAATTCCAACAAATAAGTTAACATATAGAAAAAAAGACATTCAAACAACTGTGAGAAAAAGATGAAAATAAACACCTATGACAAAAGTCCTCTGTGTAATTTAACCATAGGCTCTTTATGTACGTAGGTTTTAATGCCATGCCCTTTTGTCCTGTAATAAAAATCAATGATACCCTGAAACAGAGGAATAAGGAGTCTTACAGAAGTGACTGCAGATGCAAGAAGGGACAAAATGGGACTCACTCTTTGGGTATCTTTAGGTGGGCATTTTTCTAAGCCCAATAATATCCCGAAGAGTAATTATGGCCTATCATAGAAATATAATTTCTTAGCCAAGTATTGTTAGGACTGCAACAGCTCTATGTTTAGAAAATATTTTAAACACATTTATTCTGAAATCACAGCAGCTCTATGTTTTGTATGAATGCAAATTTGGACAAATACCTTTTACATTGTGATCATTTGCTTACAAAGCCTCAAATACTTCCCTGAATCTACTACATTTTTGCTCTACAAATACATAATTACAAATTCCAAATGGGGGGAGAGAGAGGAAAGAAAAAGAAACCCAGAGTCTCCTTAATATTTCAATGTGGCAAGTATATAGCTGGGTAATTCTAGGTACATTCTGAAAACAATTTTCATTCTCTATATACCTCAATAATTACTGTAGCTACTAACTCATTTTCTTGGAAACATTTTGTCTTTTTATTATAAAAATAAAATTGAGGGGGAAAAAAACCACCTCACTATGCTTGTATCACCTTAATGCAAGTACTTTCATTTTTGTATTATTCCTTCCTAATATTGGCTCACAGTAACAATATAGTTGAATTATAAAGTGTGTACATTTTATTGTTTTCTCATTGGCTATGTTAACATTTCCCATATTGTCCTATAATTTCATGATTATTTTAAAGATGGTATAATATTCCACAAAGTATGAATGTACTATAATTTGTTGAATGCTATCCTTAGACATTAAGTTGCTTCCAACTTTTCACTCTTATAAGTAACATTGTAGTAAAAATGAACAACTTCATGTGCATGAATTCTCAGACACTGAATTATCAAATCAAAGGGTAGGACTGTTTTTGTATCTTTTGTTATATGTTAGCAAAGTATTTTCCCAAAGGGCAGTATCTGCCCCAATGGACATCTTTCAGGATTGTTGCAATGTAATTTCTTAGCCAAGTATTGTTAGGACAATCTATGAGGTGCACAGGACCAGCTCAGGGAAGGTATTCAGTAACTGACTGTCAAATCTAAGTAAGTTCTCTTTGGGCCCCTGGCATAGCTGGTACCACTGGACCCAGCCTCTTATCACCTGTGCAATGGTTTCTTGTTCCAGCCCTGGTTCTGAAGGACACCTGGATCTAGGACACCTGCATACCACTGGTAAGAAGGGCCAAGACTCCACGATGAATGGGAGATGCCTGACATGTACCAGCTCATGACCGTGGGGTTTCTGACTCTCAAGTGCACTCTTGCCTCGCACATACTCCACCAAGTTCAGCAGAGCTGTTCGTCTCTTTCTTCCGAGGGCACCTGTCCTCTTTATTTTAATGTACCACTAAGAATGGAAAAACTGCCAAGGAAACAATGATTCGCTGCTTTCTGATCACTTAGAATGACGAATGTAAAAAACCTCTTATCACTCTTGGGGCATACATTAACAGGAAAATAACACAAAATTAATTGGGTAAGCTATTCCTTAAAAACTTCTTCACATTTAGAGTGCAACGCATCTGAAGAATTTTTTCATTTAGAGTGATAAATATCCATGTTTTTCCATGGATATCTAAGTTAACAAAACAAAACAAAAATTCATCTACTTAAAGTGATCTTCCTGTTTGTTTGAGAAAGAACTTGTTTGTTTTTTTCTAGAAAACATGAATGCAGATATCTGTTTCACTAATAGCAAATGTATACCCTGCTTCTCTGCTCTGGTGCCTGTCAGCATTCACAGTGACTTTACACTTCAATGCTGAATCAATCATAGGACAATTTTGAAGACATTTCAGCAGCAAGTAAATAACACGTGCAGAACCAACAACACACATAATTAAGTTAAAGCAGTGATAATATTAACAGCTATGACCAAATTCATGCATTGGCAGGCCATGACAACTGTGTCACAACTGCAGTATGGCTGACAGCAATTATTGGATGTGGTTGTACATCTTGGAATAAGAGAATAGGGTATATCCGCAGTAGGCCTTTGTTCTCTGGGTGTTACTACACTATCTGACTTTATCAGCTACTTTCCAGAAGAGTAAAAGTTACTGTTTCTTCTTTCTCTCTTGGAAAGGAAAGGAGTTCTGTTGCTAGTGTCAAGGCACTGACAATATAATGACCTTTACACTTAAAAGATATCTTTAGTTTGAATCCTCCTAAGGGGAAAAGGAACTTTTATTGAGCTACTATAATCCAGCCACTTTTATACCTTACACACATATTCGCAAGGCAACTCTGCAAGGTAGTGCTACTATCTACATTTCCAGGTTAGGGAACAGTCTCAGAAAGTTACAGTAATCTGCAAGGTCGCACAGCTACTAAGTGATGAAACCATACTTCAGACCCAGGGCTGTGGGATGAGAGCCCACGCTCTTCCCATGATGTCCCTCAGTGCATAGTCAGTACTTCAGCCAAAAGGAACCGAGATGGGGTACCAAACAGGCTGTTCCCCAATCCTCTTACTCCAGGCCTGTGATGCAGAGCACTTCTCTTCAGCTAAGTCCTGCAGCACGAGTTTATTCCTGGCAACGAACAGGCAGGAGTATGGATACC